GAAAGCTACCGGAAGCAGAGAGGTCGGTTCTCGATGCGTTTCAAACACTGGAGAGAATCCGCTCACAGGTCGGTGGAGAAGACAAATCGAAACTGTCTAACTTTGAGAAGAACCAAGCCGAGGCATATAATCTGTTACAAGTTGTACTCGTCGCGCAGGGGAAGTTTAAAGAGGCTCTTGTTTTAGCTGATGCAAGCAGAGGACGAGCATTGGCGGAAATTGTTCGGAAACGATTATCAGGCTGTAGCGATATCTCCAGTGGAGAAGAAACGGTAACTCTTAATGAAGAGTTTATCGCCGAATCCTTCAACAATCTTGTGGAAATCAGCCGTAAGCGTTCCACAACACTTGTGTTTTACTCGGTGGTGAAAGAGTTTGACCAATCAGGAGCATATTTCACGTGGGTGTACACCTGGGTGTTATGTCCTTCCGGGAGCCTTAATTTCAACAAGACTCGTCTGCAGCACGATTTGGAGACGAAAGTTGAGATCAACGACGAATTTATAGCGTCTCTTAGACGATCTATGGGCCAGGAATCTCAAATGGGAAAAGTAAGCAAGATTCTGAGATCATGTGGAGAGCAAAAAAAGGTTTCCAGGGAGGCTAAGGTACATGTTGCGGCAATTAAAGTCGAGGACATCTTGAGTTCGCTAGGAGGTTTTGAACACGATTTTATTACCGGTTGGAAGGGTTTTGGTATTCCGCTCAAAACTAAGGATCTCAGAAAACAAGAACTGTTATCTAAAGAAGCTTCAATACCTAAACACGAAACCTTTGACGAGTCAACAGGCAGCCAAGAGAGCTGGAACGAGACAGTTGCAGAGAAGCCAACCGCCTCTAAAACCGAGCTTTGTAGTTCAGAAGGTCAAGAAGCTTACGTAGTTTCGAGTAAGGAGGAGCTTGCCTATTCAACTGAAGCCCATTCAACTGAATCTGTAAAGCAAAGTAATGTGATGACTTTTGATAAAGTTGATGTTATTTCTGGCGAGTCACCCCTCATAGTTGAATGCCTAGTAGAAGATCCTCAAGATGACTCAAGTATGGAACGCGAGAATCCCGCTAAAGTCGAGGAAAATGAATCATTTCCTTTGGCAACAAGCGAAGAAAGCCTTCAACATTCACTAAGTGGTTCAGAGCTCTCGCACTCGTGCACACATTTAGAGTCTGGCCAAGCTAAATCTGAAATATTGGCAGCTTCAAAACCAAGTGACAATCCCTTTGAAGAAGGAGCAGATAAGCCCTCTCTGACAGTACCAAGTCATGACGGCTCTGGGGCTACCGCAGAAGGTCTTGAACATGGTATCGCCTCTAAACCTTCATGTGAGGAATCTAATTTTTCTTTGCAAAGTGACAACAACATTGAAGGGAAATATGGAGATCAGCTCCATGAGTTCCCTAAGAAAGATGATGATCACGTTTCTGTGGGCAATTCATCAGGTCCTTTTTACGAAGTTGAAACTGAGCCCCTGGGCGCACATTCAAAGGTACACAAAAATGAACCTCAGAGTGACCCAGAATTGGATCCTTGGACGCCGATGCTGAGCCAGCTCCACAAGATTCTTATTGAGCCCATTATTGATTTTCTGCCCAGAAAGGATGAATCTCATAGGGTGACTTTCATACCTCAAGATTTTTTGCTCAAAGTTCCCTTCGCTGCTTTACAAAATGAGGCAAGAGGTCACTATTTCATGGAGGACTTCATAATCTCTACCAGTCCAGCGATCCACTTCCTCGATTTAGCTTGCGCCTCTCGTGAAACTTCTTTAAAGACCACAACGCCTCTGGAGCTTAGTCTTCTTGCAGTTGGAAACCCCATCATGCCTTTCGAAGAACTTCCACAGCTCCCCTCTGCAGA